GGGGTGTGGGGGTGGGGGTGGGTGGGGTGTGTGGGTGGGGTGGGATGTGGGCGTGGGTGTGGGTGTGGGTGTGGGTGTGGGTGTGGGTGTGGGGTGTGGGTGTGGGTGTGGGGTGGGTGGGTGGGTGGGTGTGGGTGCGTGGTGGTGGTGTGTGGGTGTGGGTGTGGGGTGTGGGTGTGGGTGTGGGTGGGTGTGAGTGTGGGTGTGGGTGTGGGTGTGTGTTGGTGTGGGTGTGGGTGTGAGTGTGGTGTGGGGTGTGGGTGTGGGTGTGGGTGGGTGGGTGAGTGGGTGTGGTGTGGGTTGTGGGTGTGGGTGTGGTGTGTGGGTGGGTGTGGGTCGGTGTGGGTGTGGGTGTGGGTGTGAGTGTTTGGTTAGGGTTTCTTGTTTGTGTGTGTATCGTATATTCATTGTTCTTAAAACTGGACTGCTTCCGTAATTGGGTTTTTGCCTGTGGAATGCGTATGTCCTAAATAAACAATAAACAAATAAACAATTTCAACCGGTGGTAGCCAGCGCTGGAGGATGACGTCTAACATGCGTCTTCCTCGAAGCCATGCCCCCTTACGGAAACCACGTGTGCGTTACAAGCCCCACCCCGAGCATAATGCATTCTTCACCACACTTTAGGCACGCTCCAATCCTGGCGCCACATATGTTACCTGCTGTGCATCTTTCGATGCGCCCCATCAATTGGTACCTACAGGTTTAAACTGTTTTTTAGGCTGTCTGGAAAGCAAGAAGTAATATTTGAGTTCCGGTTTGGGCTCAAACTGAGCGGAAGGCGGCTGTACAAAATGCCGCCCGAGAGGTAGTGGGGGCGTGCTGAAAGAAAGGTGCATCGGGGTCACAGAAACATGGGATCACAGAACTGTTTGACGAAAATAAATACCAGTTGTTTCGTTTTTTGTCATACTGAGCAAAAAAAAAACAACAACAAAAAACAATCATTTACGACTGTAGCCCAACTTTAATAGACCGTTAAATGCTTTGGTGAACCGAAGGTACCAAAAATTGCTCGCTCAAACTTAATGATTTTCCGCCGTTTGACCAATGAAATGACATGTGTTACACCAACATGATGCATAACAATTATTGCCGACCCTAGCCGTCTCTACTACCCTTTGTATATAGAAGCTCAACAGTAAGTTCGTTTATTTGGACGCACCGAGAGCCCGAAATTGGCAGTTTTGTTGAACTCATGCGTATGTCCATACCTGACCCATAGCCTGTAGATGTTTTTTAATTTCCCGCGAACAGAGTCACACGTAAATTCGTGACTGAACATCGGCATACACTGCTCCTTGAGCCGCACATCAACATGCCTTCCGCGCAGAAGGTGTCCCAAGGTTTTACTTGAGCTTGATTATCAGCATCTCCGTTTTTAACAGAAAAATCAAATTCCAGAGCCCCAGCCTTTCGGCACACCCTCAAGCAGGCAGGGACTCCTTAACAAGGTCACGTATAATATTACACTGCTTTTTAAAGCAAATGAGGTGCTCCGTGGTAACCGGGCAGGCTGCGAGAGGCAAAATGCGCCCTTCAAAGCCCTGTGCAGCTAAATGGTTCACGAATATCCAGCAGATCGCGGATATAAGGGATTTTGAGCCCATTATGAGGTCCTGAGCGGACCGTGAGCCCTGAGAATTCAGAAATAATCTCAGTAGTGAGAGGACGGTCCCTCAGTAGCCTGGCAATTCCCTAAGCACTTATTGCCCCCCCCCCCCAAAAAAAGGTGTGCAAAAGGGTCGTTTAGTTATAAACATGTGCTCTGGCGCCAAAATAGATCTCTAATCGGCTGGTGGGCCATCAGCAGCCAGCCGAACACTGCGATGGCCAGGAGGGTCCCAAAGGCGATTAAAAGTTCCCCTTCTTCACCAGGGGATCTGGATAACCAGTTAAGTTCCTAAGCTGGCCAATGGGAACCTCATCCCCAAGAGGCTCCTCAGTAGCCAGAGGACCCTCAGCGACAAGAAGGGCACTGGTCAGGTAAAACGGCTCGTGAGCGAACAGAGGGACCTGGAGTACACGAAATGTCGTGAGGTCAAAGCAGCCCGTGAACGGATGTTACCATTGGGGCCTTACGTTGCACGGAACTTCTCACGCCGTATGGCGTCACCTGCTTATATGGTGCCATCCCGGCAGACAGGACGGGCACCGAGGAGAATCGAGCCCTGTACCTCTGGTTTCTCCGGCGCGCGTCTTAACCACCACTCTAACATAGTCTAAGGGGGCCTCGGTAGTGCCTAGGTTATTTTGTGTTTTGAAATTATTTTTAATGGTAAGTACGTTTTGAGTCCCTGAAGCAGCCCGAGCGTCCACGGTGGCCAGTTGAAGCTGACTTATCTGCAACAGGGGCCTCTGTGTGGCCAAATGGGACGTAGTGAATAGGCTAAGGATGGGCTCTGCTCTTTCAACACGGACATTTTTGTTCACACTGGACGCAGCAAAAACGGCAATGCCTACACTTCCACAGAACCTCAGGTTTTGCAACAGGCAAGAATAGTCCTTTACCCACAAGGTAGCAAAGAAATCTAAGCACGCCTGCAATACTTGTCATACATGGTGCGGGAGTGTCAATTCACATTATTTGGGGCCCTGCTCGACCCAAATGCTGATTTGGGCCCCTTCAATGCTGACCCCTTCCCATAAAACTTCTAGCTGGGAGATTACAATTGGAAGAAAAGACCAACTTTAACAAAAAATGTATCTTCTACAAAATTAATTACCTGGCAATGACCATCATGATGCTTAGATAAAGGTTTGCTTAATCCAAGAAAAAATTATGAAGAACACAAATTACCTTCACAAAGCAGACCACGCCTGTTGATAACCACATTTAGGGGAGGGGAGGTTGTGAGGCCCTTGGCTTGCTATCCTCCCTCCTCATGTATAAAAATTGACATCGCTGACATGATGCCACGACCGGCAGAAAAAAAAACTATATTGCTGTCTACCACCAGTGCAGGCTGCATTTAAGTTCGGCCGTCTGTCCTAACAACCTGCACGTAAAATATGTAGTGATTATATTCAGGGTTCCTTCAGAATATATTTAATTTCAGTGTAAGCAGAAACGATAATGAAATATATATATATATATATATATATATATATATATATATATATATATTGCATTGATACGCTTGCATTGCTCACAGGTGCAAAGAAATCATGTATATGAATGATGAGTGCAGAGTCACTCACTTCCACAGCTTTCCTGTAACAGTAGGGGTGTTACCATCAGCAAATAGCCAAAATCACTCTCAGAAAGACCCACATGTCAATTTTGTTTGCTTCGCTGTGACAATGAGGCCAAAAGCCACAAAATCACCTAACATTTAAGCAAACCTTTTGGTTCAGGGGAAACAGCAATGTAAACTTTAAACCCCCTCCTCATTGCCTACATTTCCTACACCACCTTAATCTCCACCCATCATTGCTTTCTTATAACCTACATCATTGCCTATATCAGTTTCCAGCAGACAAGATTGATGATGGGAAA